CTCACACACACACACACACACACACACACACACACACACACACACACACACACACACACACACGCACACACAACCCCGAATACAACACACCCTGTCATGATGAGGGTGCGTTATGCCATCTTTCCCATCAGATGCTGTCATGATGTGGGTGCGTTATGTTCGTTGACAGTAGGTAGTCAGTGGCCGCAAACTGTCTGTTGATTTCCTCTCTTCTCAGCATCCTACAACTGGCATGCTTCTGTCTTCACTGCTTAGGTTCCTTTTGGTTAATTTAATCACATAAATCAAATGCCCGGTCATTATCCTTTGTCACCCCCCCCCCCCCCCCCCCCCCCACCGCTCCCCCCCAACCCCCCCCCAAAAAAAGGTTGCTGTGAATACAGTTAAAATGACCCTAAGTGTGTTCTGTTCGAGCGCAAACGGTAGCGCTTAGTAGTCTACTCTGCTGATTTGCAATTGTTACCTTTAACCCTGCCTTCAATTCTAACTCTTGTTCGAACCTGGTCCCTGTGCAGGCTTACTGTGTGCCGTCAACTTTTGCATGCCCTATGGTTCCCATTCTCCCTTTGCTGGGAATGTCAGTCAACGTGTACCTGCTTGCCCAGGTAGGTATATCTTTCTACTTTTTTTTTTTTTTTTTGAGGATCAGATATTAAACTGATCAGAACAGATACTACACTTGATTGTATCATAATAATTTGATTTTTGCCTTTCTTCTTTTACCTCTTAATAACTGGTGTCAATTTGCAAGCCTTATCTCGCCTCTCTCGCCTCTTTTGTAATGAGCCCAACTCTTCGAACTTACATCGTCATCGTCATCATCATAATCAATGTACTCAGGAACCTCAATGAATAAAGATTCGCCATGAGAGAGCAATGGCATAGCACACAAAGAGAAAGAGAAGAATAAGAGTGAAAACAGGAGAATGTGGTGAGAATGTAATCAGTAAATAGCACACACACTGTTCAAGTTGCGGCTCCCACCTCTATACCTCCAGGCTCTTATCCTTCTCGAGTGCCTCCTGATGATGTCATCTTCGTATCCTCTACTACTGGCGACCTTCTGGTTGGGACACCCACCATAACTGATGGGAACAGACTGACTGACCAACCACTTGTGTGTGACTGCGCATCATAACAGGATGGGAACAGACGGACTGACCGACCAAGTCGCCTGTAAGAGGATGGACATTCCACCATAACTGATGGGGACAGAGAGTGAGCGACAGACAGAGCGAGCGACCGACCAGCGGATCAGCGGACGGATGGGCGGATTGATTGATGGACCGACGGGCGGACCGACTGACAGATCGACCAACCGGTGGACCGACCAACGAGCCTACTGACTGGTGGATGACCGACGGACTGACCAACCCACCGATTGATGGATGGACCAACTGACGGACAGAGGGACGGACTGGCCAATTTATCAACCACAACACACCGACTGATTGGTAGATGGACCGACCTACAGACCGACTGATCGACCAGCCTACGGACCGACCAGCCAAGGAGGAGGGGCGGGATGACAAGTGGGAGGAGGGGAAAGAGGAGCAGGAGGGGCAGCAGGGTGTGGTGGCGGAATAGAAGACGGAGGAGCGGAATGAGGAGAAAGTAAGGGAGGAGGGAGAGAGGGGCAAGCAGCAGGAGGTGCAGCAGGAGGTGGTGGCCGAGTAGATGCCAGAGGAGTGGAACGAGGAGAAACCGAGGAAGTGGACAGATAGGAGGTGAGAAGGGAGGAGGACGTGAGGGCGGATCAGGGGGTGGCAGGAGGAGGTAGGGTGGAGAAGGTGGCATGAGGAGGAAGAGGTGGCTTGACGAGCAGTAAGAGGGCAGGCAGGGTGTTTTTGCGTCGGTCTTTTTTTTTCTGACAGAGAGAGAGATGATAGTGCTCGCTCTCCTGTTTGTGAGACCCGGCAGGAGATTGGGGCAGGAAGAGCTGTGCCGCAGGCATAGTAGCCGCAGCAGGCTGACTCGTTGTTTCGAAAGAAACATCTCTGTCCAGCCTGTCACCCGGAGGAGCATCCCCCAGTAAGAGGTCGGTCATGTGGATGGCTCCAATCTACTGGTGGGAGCTGCACCTAATGGAAACCAGGTCCAGCGTCGCTTTGACATGTGATTAGCTGCTAATCGGAGACATTCGTGGGCCCACGGAACATTGAACCTGGGTTGCATTTAGTTGCATTTAGCATGGGACCCGGACACTCCTCGATGTGATGATGAAAATGTGTTCTTTCTTCTTTGGAATTTGTCTTGTGCATGCCACTGGAAGGGTCTCGTGCTCGTTTCGACCTTTGGGAGCCCTGTAGCAATTGCTGCATGCAGTATGTTTGTTCCTTTGCTCCCCCACCTTTTGTCATATTCAGCTGTTCACGAACTTCCTGAAATTTTTGACTGCTCTAAGCTGAAGCCCCGGTACCTTAATTTGGCTTCTGTATTTTCATGAGGGACGCTGGGCCCAGTTCCCAGCATGCTGCTTCCCACAGATAAGATCGGAGCCACCGCACGAGCCGACCCGGGCAGACATGGGCTCTTATCCCTGCCTGCTGGGATGCCGGAGCAGATGGTGCTTTGAAGTTTGAACTGCTTTCCCCCCCCCAAAAAAAAAAAAAATTGCCATCACACTGAATCAGACATTTACTTCTTGGAATTCCTGACAAAAAAAAAAAAAAAAAATCTTGCAATTCCTGACGGTGGTGCTTGTTTTTGTGTGCTACTTGGGACCAGCTACATGTTCATGCGTGGGTGCGATTGGTGACAGTTGTCCTGCTGGCTGTTGCGGTGTATATGTTCTACGGGCGGCACAGTGCTAATCCTGGAAACATTCCGGTTGGTTCTGGCACCGACGCAGACATGTCAGCTCCCATCGTCGAGCACCGAAGAGACATTCCTGATGACCATCGCATCGACCAGGTTCAAGCGGGAATTACGCCCAGGTCCCCGTGAATGGGAGTCCCAAGTGGGCATTACGCCCAGGTCCCCCTGAATGGGCGCAGGCTCCTTTGACCACAGGTCTGTGACGTCATTGAAGTCCCAAGTGGGAATTACGCCCAGGTCCCTGTGTATGGGAGTGTCCTGACATTGCTGTCATCGGTTCACATTTGTCCCAAATCATTGGTTCCACAATGGTACCTCATATTTGGCCCCATATCAGTCTCACATTGGTCCCATGTCAGTCCTACATCAATTCCACATCAGTCCTTCATTGGTCCCACATTGGTCTGACATGAGCTCCAAACGAGTCCCACATCAGTACCCAATTGTTGTCATTGGTCTCACATCGGGTCCACACCTTGGTCCTACATTGTCCCACATTGGTCCTACATTGTCCCACATTGGTCGTACGTTGTCCCACATTGGTTGTACATTGCCCCACATTGGTCCGACATTGTTGTCCCACATTGTCATACATTTGTTCCACATTGGTCTGACATTTTGTCCCACATTGGTACCAGATTCGTCCCCACCCACTTGCGTTTATATATATGCAGTAGCGGATCCAGAAGGCGAGTGTGAGTAAAAGGAAATAAGGTGAGGAAATCCGATCAACCAGGCGTAATCGCTCACTTTTTTATTATCTTGATAAATGCAGATGTCCCATCATCGAAGCGTCAGATGGAGATACAAAGATCGGCTTGAATTCGTGATGGGGGGGGGGGGGGGGGGGGGGGGGGGGTTGAGGAGGTAGTGCAAATCAGCTGTAGAAGTCCCCATTGCTGGTCGGTACGAGTCCATTTTTCGGCTTGTACTTGGAGGTGGAGAATTTAGAACAGGTAGTTAGGCACGAAGATGGTCATGAGTTCTCAGGGGTTGAGCATAGGGTGAGAAGAGCCATTGATAACGGCGGGCCGTCCTTCATCAATGGCTGTAATGTGCCACACAAAAGCCTAGGCTATGAGATGCTTTATCAATGCAGCTCGAGGGCCATCCTTTATCAATGGGATGGTGATGAATTCTCAGGGGTTGAGCATAGGGTGAGAAGAGCCATTGATAAAGACGGGCCATCATTTATCAATGGCTGTAATATCAATGCAGCTTGAGGGCCAATGGCTGTAATCTGCCACATCAAAGCCTAAGCAGGGAATCATCATCATGTGATCCCGGACTATCACCATGTGATCCAGCACTCAGCTCCAGTCGACATTATCGGTCCCAAATTATTAGTGTAAAAAAAAAAAAAAAAGAGCCTGGGTCCAATCAACATTATCTGTCGCAAAATTAGTGTAGATCTGTAAGCCTGTCTCCAATCGACATTATCAGTCTCAAATTAGAGTATCTATAAGCCTGTCTACAATCGACATTAAGCCCGTCTCCAATCGACATTATCGGTCCCGAATTAGTTTATGATGTGTATCTGTAAGCCTATCGGTTAGGGAAGATCGGGGGGGGGGGAAGGTGGGCATTGGTAACCTGCAGTTTGAGGGAAAGAAGTGGAACACAAAAGTTTTTTCAAGCCAGTTTGAAAGAGGAGAGAGAGAGAGAGAGAGAGAGAGAGAGAGAGAGAGAGAGAGAGAGAGAGAGAGAGAGAGAGTGGTGTTGTGAATTCAAAGCATATATGACTAGTCCACATGGTCCCAGATGTCGACATGTTCCTCCAATTGTGTTTGCAGAAGCAAGCTTGCAAATATGTTTGGCACCTCCGGAGCTGAGAATTGGGTTGGGGGGGAAGGTGTATGGCGGGGAGGGGCTGTTGAGGCAGGAAGGAGGGGTCTAAAGGGG